AATTGAATGTGTATACATATACATATATATACTCTACATAGACGTAAAAAAACACACATGCGTATATGACAATCCCATGTATTGCGAGATATGTTGCAAAAAAACTCTTCATTTATATTTTTTCTTTATTTATATGTTTCTTTTTTAAATATTATATTATTGCAATTTAAAATAAATGATTAAAGTTGAATAAATAGAGAATAACTTTATACGTATAAAATTTATAAATACGATAACGTAATACAAACAAGTACATATCATATTATATATTATAATTAATATATCTAACGTTATATTAAACCATTTTAACGTATTTATTTAACATTAAAAAAACATTCTTAAATATTCAAAATGAAATATTTAATCTATTAAATTTTTGATCCATTCATTTGTTTAGATGGTGATTCAAAATCGTAAAATATCAGTACCACGTTTAACTTTCATTATGTTAGCATGTGTCAATATATTTGCACATACATGTCTTTACTGCGCTGTAGGAGAAATTTTGGTCGTACAAGTACGTTATCACCTTTTTGATGACTTTATTACGTACAGAATATAAATCATATCAAACCGATCAATAAGTATTCTAATTAAAATACTTGCCCATTATTTTCCTAACACACAATCTATAAAAATGTAAAATCTATTGCGTATGGCTATATATATGTCAAGTGCGAAGGAGTTTATGAAGCTGCATGCAAGTATAAATGGTACAACTTGGAGCCAAAGAAAGCAAAAAACTTAATGATGATAATGATTCGAGCCAACAAATCGTTATATCTTACCGCAGGAAAACTGTTTCCTATGACAATGTCTACATTTTGTAACGTAAGCTAGCTAATACAAATTGTTCATATCACTACTACCTTCAGCACGATTCTTAATATAGACATAAAAGGTAAACGCATATTAACTCTTATTGGACCACCAAATTTCTAACCGAATGAGGCAATGTCACAGCGGTTTAAACTGGATCACGAATGCTTCTAAATAATTACGTGTGAATTTATATGTATATTACGTATATAATTCTTTGATTGCGCGCCGAAATTTTTTCAAACTTGAAACACTATCCTAATAATATCACAAGTTAAATTGACTAACAATTTAACGATTAGTGATGCTGTTTACTCATCTTATATTGATCTTAATAAAGTTTAATAACCTATTAAAACTGTAAATAATTTTTTATTACGGAAAATGCGTGCCTCGGTGGTCTAAAGACTTAGGTCTGATTGCACCAACGTGATTCCGATTTTAAGCGAAGATTTAACTCGTGATATTAGTGCGATAGTTTATCAGTATTAGCGTTTCAAGTTTGAAAAAATTTTGACGCGCGCAATTAAAGAATTACATACGTAGTATTTAAATTCACTCTCGTCATCCAGCTTAGATCGCTGTAGCATTGTCCCACTCGATATGAAAAATAAAAAAAACAGCTTTGTTGTATATAACATTCTTTTTATTTTATTTATTATGTTACTTATACGTACAAAATGTAAGGTGTCCGTAAGGTTTTGTTCTTATCGTTATTAATTAAATAAATTTTAAAATTCAACGTTTATTTTTTATATATATTTTATTTGCAGTTGTTAAAGACATCGGGTGGTTATATATCGGTTTTGCTGGCACATCGAGAATAAATATAAAAAATTCCGCGAATGTCAAATATAAATCTGATTTTGAAACTCATATCGGAAAGTAACAATTAATATGTTTATTTTATCACAATTGAATTTAAATATAATAAAATTTATTTTATTTATTATAACGCATGCATATTTACATATTTGTCAAATATACGTATTAAAATAACAATATTATTGCATTATCTTGATTTAAACATACATTTCTCCTAGGAACTTCTTTTTAGGGTATAAAACGTCCTCTGGACTTCACTTATAGAATATTCCTTGGAGAAAATTGCACGCTGTGTAGGTAATTTAAAAAATTTCAATTTATTTTACAGCAAAGTTATAGAAAACATTCTTTGCCATTTATTGAATAAGAGTATTTGTTAAATTATTAATATTTTGACAAAACAAACTACTTTACATAAATTGTTCTAAAACAATTAAAAAAGTTTCAAAATTAAGAATAAATTTTCGAAAAGCTATCTACCCCAATTGCCACTAATTTTGACATTAATTAAATCGAGCGGTAATTAGATTTTTTAATTAATAAATTTCTAGTTTGGAATATTACTAAGAAACAGTGTAAAATAAAAATATAAAATATATATATATAAATAATATCGAACGTTTCAGAACTTATAAGGTATTTTACTTATAATTTCTAAAAGCATTAATCAAATTATAAAAGACACTATGTGTCTTTTTTTATTGTTGTTGATTATTTTTATATAGTCTTTTATTTTTCAATTTATTTACTATGTGTGTGTTTATATGATTAAATTATGTGGAGGTAAATACGTAAAAATCATGTGGAATAAAATAATTGTTATAATACGATATAGATATAGAATATATTAATAATATGCACATATAGGTGGGTACGAATTTCAACATAGTATATAAATTATACCATACACATTGACTATTACTATACTTTCCGAAGTCTACCAAGTGCAAAAGCAGATCTATGCAATGACGGCCGTAGGTAAGTTAAATGTCAGAAACTTGATAATGCTTTTCATCACAATTTGACACTGATCTGGTTATATTTGATGCACAGCAGCCACGATTCAATTACATATTTTCTAGAATTGATTGGCGACAAATAATATTTCTGCTTCAGGACACTCTACACAAAGAAGCCCAGTGGTATCAGATCAGTAGGTGGTCAGAGTGGTCAAAATATTTACTCCTCCAGATGCGGCAACAATGAAAATACGTTTCGCCTTTTCTATGATTTTTTCCAAAACAAAGCAAAAACTAAAATATCTAAACAGACCTTTCTTTTCTTAATTTATTGATCCCCCAATTCTCAAGGTTTTACTTTTAAATTTCGGACATCCTATATATTATAGCTTAGATAACATTTCTTATATATTTATTAATTATTTATATTTATTGATAATACTACTCAATAAGATTAAAAAACAAAACATTAAGTAAACGACAGACACGAGCACAAAAAAGTTGAAATTAATAATTCATTCAACATTTATACAAACAATACTTGGCTCTAACTTAATCTATAAAATAAAATTATATAATACACACACACACACACATTAGTTAAATTTCAATAAAATTAAAGCACAATATTACTTAATAAAATTAAAGGATCACTTTTCCTTCTTGCAAAAATAGACAAATTTCGACGCTTAAAAAAGCATTTTAAAGCTTGAAATCTCTATTTTAAAAAGCTTTTTTAAAAATCTCGGAACGATGATTTTTGACGCATTTATTCTATCTTGAAATTTGCTTATTTTTGCAGGGTAGAACAAGTGATCATTTAATTTTGTTATATAGTGTATATATCATTTATATACCATTTATATTCGTTATTCAATTTGCAATAATATATCAATTTGTGATACATAATTAACAAATTCGTCTGAATAATACTGTAGTTAAGCTTGAGAAAAGAACTTTATTATATCTTTCAAAATAATGAAACAAATATATATTAAAAAATTGCACTACGAGATACTGTATAGTATGCACATATACATACAGTATATTAGATTTTGTGTATTACATTCCTGGTAATAAAAAAAAAAATACGAAATAACATTCTATTATACACGTACACATGTAAAACGTAGATATATTCGTACTACACAGTCAAACCGTTTAGTATTTCAAGTTTCGTTTTTGAAATTGTCTGAATTTAATAAAACAAAAAGAAATGAAGGCTAAGTATGAAGCTATAAAATTTAGAAACGCGAAACTATAGTTTAAAAAACTTTCAAGTTTCTCATATTTTCAGAGAAGTAATCAATCGATTATTACGGCACAACAGGGTCGACTTTCCAACGTATAATAAACGAAGAAGACATATATACGCTTTTTAAACTCAAACCACCTTCATAATACATTCCCAGGTATACACTAAAACGTTTTTAAAAATACGTGCGTTGCGACCCTGCATCGATAACTTACACTTTTTTATTCGTTACTATACAGTTTTTTATCTGTAGACTGAACCAAACGTGACGGTTATAAACATTAGCTCTAAATATCCACCGTAATATTCTCGTTAAAGATGTTACATTATTAATATGCGATGTACACACTTGTTGCAAGGCATTAAAGTTAGGATGTCTCGTCATATGTAAAGATATACTACTCCAACGAAAAATGAAACGAGAAAAAGGAAAGCTTAGTCCGTTCGCAAACAACTGTATGGAAGTTTCAAAGTATTCAGCTTATGTAGGTATGCATTTATTTCTTTGATTAGTTCGGATAGACATGCTAGATAGAAAGATAGCAATCAAGCACATCAAGCACATGAATCTAAAATTCACAAACAATATTTCAAATTATTTTCGTGAAAAACAGTAGTGTTGCAAAAATATTAACTAAAATGTTTTTTTATTATACCCACTTAAATAAAGAAATATCTTGTATGTTTGAAAAATTATTAACATAGATAAAAATTGCAAAGAAAGTTTGTGTCACTCAATTATTATCTTACTTATGCATCGTTCTACTACCCATTTACACAAATACACACACACTAATACAATTCATATATTAATATAATACATATTGTAGATATGTATAATACATGTCACCTATTTTAACATGTTGGTTCGATATTATTTTAAACTAACTAATAGTAAATTTAATTGAAGATTTAGTATTTATATACAATTTTTTATATATATTATGCTTCAAGAATAAATACATAATTATATTTTACGAAAAAAAAAATGTAATTTATAATAAAGGAAGAAAAAGGTTAAAGGAAAGAGAATATACATAAAGAAAAAAAAATACATAATCATTATATAATATTTATGGACAACAAAGCAAGTTTATCTTACTAGAAGTTCTTTTAATCGCATTTATTTCTTTATAAATTAGATTATAAATGGGCTATCCGATTAAATCGGGCTAGTTTGACACTTTTAGGCGTCTGGCCAAAAAACAATGAAACTAAACAGAAAAAGATGATGTCAAACGTCTGTACAATCCTTATATTAAACACTGCAATCTGTGGGTGCCTCATTCCAACTGTACATTCTTTGTTCAAAGTTTGGGGTAATATAATGTCAATGATAGATAACCTGCAATATACTTTACCGCTGACAATAGCAATAACAAAGTTATGCATTGTGTGGCTGAGAAAGGAAGGTAATACACAGAGGAGACAGAAGCTAGTTATAATAACTCCTTTTAGTTGCCAAAGAAAACAACCTATTTCATAAGTTTCATACTTGTTACATTTTACTCATAATTACTAGAAGCCTTAATTGTATTATAGAAAACACTTCGTATGTTTAAATGATTATGAGGATAGAAATCTGTAAATTAATGTATTTCTAATAATTTTGTGTTCTTAATTTATTGATAGTTACATTGAGAATGACCTAATCGGCGTCGAAACGTTTATATAATTATTTTCATTTTTATGTTTTAAATTAAACGTTCTTTATTGTATAACTGGCTCTTAACCATACAATTGTGATTTGTTTTACTTTCTTACATTGTTTTGCCAGAAACTCAACAATTAATTCAAGAGAAAGATCCGAATTAACACATTTTTCATTTCAATTTTATATCTTAAAATAAATGTTCCGTATAATACATTTTCATGTGTTTTATTTTATTATAATCTTGAATTTATTTTTATATGCCTACATGTGAGTGTATGTACATGTGTGTTTGAAATAATATCATAAATGCAATAATTTGTGCTAACGGAGTAACTTGACATACAATGTGGAATAACATGTGATAATTTACCTATTAACAGAAACATTAATTTTCAATACATTAGAAAAAATTAATTATTATCAACTGAGACTAGTTACACTAGTCAAAAGTACATTTTACAATCAATGCAAAGTATACTCATTAATTAAAAATTTAATGCAGTTTAAGAAAAAAATTCTAACATAAAATTGTAATAACTGGTTTCATTCTTCTTTGTACATATACATATTTCTGTAAACTACATGATAGTAATAAAACAGTATTTTTAAACCTTATTATCTAAATTTGAAAAGTGTAATGTCATGTTCACACAAAGTTAATTACAATAAAATATATAAAACTTTATTATCCACGTTGTTTACAGATGTTCTTCCTCTTTTAAACATGATTAAAGATGATTGGTTGAAACCGAAAATGATAAAAGAGAGACATATTATGATAAAACGAGCACGAATAGCACGAATGTTTACAATATTCGGATACATTATAATGCTGATATCCTTTAATTTGTGTGCAGTTCTTCCTGCATTCGGTATTTCTATCAGATACATGACAAATGAAACGGATCCAGGCAAAATAGTACCGCTACAATCGTATTATATATACGATCGAGATAAAAGTCCATATTACGAAATAACTTACATCGTGCAGAGTCTCGGAATGTCAGCAGCAGCTTTTATGTACACTACTGTAGATAGTTTTTTAGGTTTATTAATTTTTCACGTATGTGGTCAGTTGGAAAATCTCAAAATACGTATCACTCAACTGGATAAGTTCCAAAATTTCGAAAATGCTTTATCACACAGCGTACAGGATCATATACGTCTTATCAGGTTATTGATTTTTTATAATATTTATATTATTTATTATTTTTTATATTATATTATCTGTCTTTTCTATTCTTATCTAAATTAAATAATTGCGAAACGTCCAAATATCAAAATACATTAAGAGCTTTTGTATCATAGTTTTAAAATATATAAGCAAAATTGTTAAAATACATTAATGAAAAATATCTGAAAAAAGGATATATTTATATAATGCCAAAAAGTAGAGAAAATAACAAATGACGTTCATTAATTTAAAGCACACAGAGACAACCTAAAGAAAACTTAAATGCATTTCATACGTCATCAATATATCATTGATGATGAGAATCAAACACTTCATCATTTATAACAATTATTTAAAAAAATATTTTTGTCTTAACTACTTGAATAATTATATCTGTTTATTTTGCTGCATATGATTTAAGAGACATTTTTCTTATGATTTACAATTAATAGAGTTAAAACAAGTACTTACTTATATCAAATGATTGAATAAATTCCAGGAGGGAATACTAAAATCAAATTAGTTCAATAACGCACTTTTGTTAAGTTTCATATACATGCGCAAAACACTTTGTGTTACTTACTTTTTAGAGAAGTAAACCAATTTTTGGTATTCACCAAAACTACAAAATATTAAAAATAAAAATTTATGAATAAGTTAAATAAATACAATTATCGACAAACTGAAATTCTTTTGTTCTTATTATAATGTATATTCTTTTGCGCGTTAACAATTCTGTTTGCTTTGTATTCAATTGTATATTCACATTGTAAGATGTATGATCATATATATTTATTTCTACTTATAATTAAACTGCATCTTTTTTTTACAACTGATATAAAAAATAAAGTACATTTTTTTTCACTAGCATATTTACTTAAATTATTATATAGGATAAAGTAAAATAAAAAAAGTTCTCTTAATTTTATAATATAATCAAATAATAGAAGAATTAATGGTAAATATCTAGAAAAGGAGAGCCCCCCCCCGATGATCTTGACCTTGACATATGTTGTCAAGTGGTCTGCCCCGACAGTACAATCATAGCAACAGTACAATCGTAGAAGTCGTGTGCCCCTTCGCAGGGGGTTGGAGGAGGTGAGAATTACTTCGCGTGGAAAGTTTAACGTTTCTAAACAGAAGGAGATGTAAAATAGTACTTGTTATAATACATATATGGCAGAAATGATACGTTAATATGTATAATTTCTGAGAAATGGTACGTTAATTTTGAAACTTTTTTTGGTAATAACTTTTTAACGGACAGCGGCTGCCACCTAAAACCTGCGGGAGGTCACTCAGGGTCATGATCTTGACAACAAATGTCAAGATCAAGATCATCGGGGTGGGGGGGGCTCCCCTTTTCTAGATATTTACCGAATTAATTTATAAATATGCATTTTTTAATAACTTCCTTTCTTTAATAATATTCAGATTTATCAATATGATTGACGAAATATTTACATTAATGCTACTTGGTGCGCTGTTTTACTTTGGCGTATTATTTGCACTTCATGGTTTTTTACTGGGTACTGTAAGTACTCTTTCTTAATTTATATGGGTACTGTAAATAACCTTCCTTAATTAATTTTGTCTATCGATAATGATATCTATTATAAATGTCAACTTTATATTAGGATATTTTCTAGAAATTGAATGTGTTATACATACATATATATATATATATATATATATATACACTTTACATAGGCGTAAACAAACACACATATGCGTATATGACAATCCCATGTATTGCAAAAAACTCTTTTCATTTATATGCTTCTTGTTTAAATATTATATATTATATTAGTGCAATTTAAAATAAACGATTAAAGTTACATTATTGAGAAATAAATAAAGAATAACCTTATACGTATGAAATCTGTAGATGTGATATCGTAATACAAACAAGAACGTCATTTTATAAAGTGTAATTAATGTAACTAACGTTATATTAAACATTTTTACCTATTTATTTAACATTAAAGAAAACATACTTAAGTAATCAAAATAAAATACATAATATTATTAAATTTTTAAACCATTTGTTTGTTTAGATGGTAACTCAAGGTCGTGATATGTCATTACCACGTTTAACTTTCATTATGACAGTATCTGTCAATATGTTTGCACATACGTGTCTTTACTGCGCTGTAGGAGAAATTTTGGTCGTTCAAGTACGTTATTTTCTTCATTACTTTATTACGTACAGTATATAGATAATATCAATCCGATCAATAAAATTCTAATTAAAATACTTATCCATTATTTCTAACACACTATCTATAAAAATGTAAAATTTATTGCGTTTGGCTATATATATGTCAAGTGTGAAGGAGTTTATGAAGCTGCATGCAAGTATAAATGGTACAACTTGGAGCCAAAGAAAGCAAAAAACTTAATGATGATAATGATTCGAGCCAACAAATCGTTGTACCTTACAGCAGGAAAACTATTCCCTATGACAATGTCTACATTTTGTAACGTAAGCTAGCTAATACAAATTGTTCATATCACTACTACCTTCAGCACGATTCTTAATACAGACATAAAAGGTAATGCTTCTAAATAATTGCATGTGAATTTATATAATACGTATGTAAGTCTTCGATTGCGCACCAAAATGTTTTCAAACTTGAAACACAACACTATCAAATTACCGCAATAATATTATGAGTTAAATTGACTAACAATTCGATGACTATTGATTCTGTTTACGCATCTTATATCGATCTTAATAATGTTGAGTATCCTATTAAAAACTGTAAATAATTAATTTTTATTGTGAAATATATTACCTCGGCTGAAAGTCGTACTCGGATCTCTGGCATTCCGTGCGAACGTCCAAAGCCTTTAGACCACCGAGACACACATTTAACATTTTTCACAATAAAAAATCATTTACAGTTTTAATAGATAAGATGCGTAAACAGCACCAATAATAGTTAAATTGTTAGTCAATTTAAATCGTGATATTACTGCGATAGTTTATGCGTATTGGCGTTTCAAGTCTAAAAAAATTTCGTCGCGAAATCAAAAAATTACATACGTAGTATATAAATTCACACGCAATTATTTAAAAGCACCCATGATCCAGCTTAGATCTCCGTAGCATTGTCTCACTCGGTATGAAAAATAAAAAAAAACAACTTTGGTGTATATAACGTTCTTTTATTTCATTTGTTATGTTACTTACATGTACAAAATGTAAGGTGTCTGTAAGGATTTGTTCTTATTGTTATTAATGAAGTGAATTTTATAATTCGACGCGCGTTCATTTTTTATATATATTTTATATATATTTGCAGTTGTTAAAGACATCGGCTGGTTATATTTCGGTTTTGCTGGCACATCGAGAATAAAAATAAAAGTCCGCGAATGTCGAATAAAAATCTGATTTTAAAATTCATATCGGAAAGTAACAATCAATATATTTATTTTATTACAATTTAAATTTAAATATAATAAAATTAATTTCATTTATAAGAACGCATGCATATTTACATATTTGTCAAATATATGTATTACAATAACAATATTATTGCATTATCTTGATTTAAACATACATTTCTCCTAGGAACTTCTTTTTAGGATGTAGAACGTCCTTTGGACTTCACTTATAGAACATTCCTTGGAGATAATGTTAAAAATGTTTAAATAAAATAATATACAGCCTGAATTAGTTATTTTCACCGTACACTCCAAATCACTTCCGAGTGATCTCGATGTTTCGACCTTGACTTTCAAGAAGATCTACACCATCGAACATCTTTTGGCAAGGAAGAAAGTGGAGTGTCCTTGTATCCCATGGAAAATCGAGCACCTAACGGGCAGTGTTGCAGTGGGGCAGCATTTACGAAACTCTACTACAGCAACGTATAACTTTTTAACTTTGTATATAAATATTTGTAACATTAAACCTTCGTATCGGTGATAATCCATATAAAGTATTCATTTAACATTCAATATCATTTGGAGAATTTTTATCAAAATTTATAACAATTGTTCGAGTGTCATTTTCGGATGTTCAGCAATAAATTTGACTCACAATAAATGATTGCTCATGAATTGTAAACGAAGATATAAACAAAATCTAAATATCCTTTATAAAGAGACGTCAGTTAGTTTGCGTAATAATTTTGTTATGACACGATAATAATTGAAATATATTAATGCTATTTACAGCTGTATACGTATTTCAATAACTATATATACATATGTATATATACATATATATATATATATACATATATTGTACTATACGCAATGGCTATTATTGTGCTTTTCGAAGTTTGCCAAGTGCAAAAGCAGTACTGTGCATTAAAACTGTTGACGTGATCGCATAGTCGTTGGTAAGTTAAATATAAAAAACTTGATAACGCATTTTCTGACAATTTTATAAGTTCTATATAATTAAATATACAAAAAACGGTCTAAATCGAGCGATAATAAAATTTTTTAATTAATAAAAAAAAATTTCTAGTTTACAATATTACTAAGAAACGGCGTAAAATAAAAAAAATAAAAAAAAATAAAAATAAATAATATCGAACGTTTCAGAACTCACAAGGTATTTTACTTATATAATTACTAAAAGCCTTAATTAAATTATAAAAGACACTATGTGTATGTCTTTATTGTTGTTGATTATTTTTACATGAAAAGTTTTTTATTTTTCAATTTATTTACTATGTGAATGTTTATATGATTAAATTTTGTGGAGGTAAATACGTGAAAATCATGTGTAGTAAAATAATTGCTATAATACGATTTAAATATAGAATATATTAATAATATGCACATAGGTGGGTATGAATTTTAATATATATATAAATTATACCATACGCATTGAGACCATTACTATACTTTCCGAAGTCTACCAAGTGCAAAAGCAGATCTATTCAATGACGGCCGTAGGTAAGTTAAATTTCAGAAACTTGATAACGCTTTTCCTCACAATTTTAAACTGATCTGGTTATATTTAATGTGCAGCAGCCACGATTCAATTGTTTTCTTGAGTTGATTGACAAATAAGCTTCCTGATTTTGTGTATTACGATCACTCCTGGTAATAAATACGAGCTAACATTCTATTATACACGTATGACATGTAAAACTTAGTTATATTCGTAGTATAGAGTCAAACAGTTTAGTATTTCAAGTTTCGTTTTTTAAATTTACTGACTTTAATAAGAGAAATGAGAGAGAAAGAAGACTAAGTTTGAAGCTAAAGTTTAGAAACTATAGTTTTAAAAAACTTTGAAATTTCTCATATTTTCAGAGAAATAATCAATCGATTATTACGGCACAACAGGATCGACTTTACAAATTTCCAACGTATAAAAACGAAGAAGACACATATTCGCTTTTTAAACTCAAACCACCTTCATAATACATTCCCAGTTTATACATTAAAACGTTTTTAAAAATACGTACTTTGCGACCCTGCATCGATGACTTACACTTCTTTATTCGTTATTAAGCTACTATACAGTTTTTCATCTGTAGACTGTACCAAACGTCATGGTTGTAAATTAGCTATAAATATCCACCGTAAAATATTCTCGTTAAAGATGTTACATTATTAATATGCGATGTACACACTTGTTGGAAGGCATTAAAGTTAGGATGTCTCGTCATATGCAAAGATCTACTACTCCAACTGACAATGAAACGAGAAAAAGGAAAGCTTAGTCCGTTCGCAGACAACAGTATGGAAGTTTCAAAGTATTCAGCTTATGTAGGTGTGCATTTATTCCTTTGTTTAGTTCAGACAGAACATGTATGCTAGGTAGAAATAAGATAGTTCATCAAGCACATAAATTTAAAATTCATAAACAATATTTCAAATTATTTTTCGCGCAAAACAGTAGTGTTGCAAAAATATCAACTAAAATGTTTTTTATTATACCCACACACTTAAATAAAAAGTATTTTATATCTTTAAAAAATTATTATTCACACAGATTAAAATTGTAAACGTAAAGAAGGTTTGTGTAACTGAATTATTATCTTACTTATGCATTGTTTTACTACACATTTATACAAACACACACACACACACACACACACATACTAATACAATACATATACTAATATAATACATATTGCATATATGTATAATACATGTCATCTTTTTAAATGTAAATTGGTTTGATATTATTTTAATCTAGCTAATAGTAAATTTAACTGAAAATATAATATTTATACACAAATTCATATACATATATTATGCTTCAAGAATAAATATATAATTATTTTTTACGAAAAAGTAAAGAAATGTGATTTATAAAAAAAAAAGAAGAAAAAGGTTACAGGAAAGAGATTACACATAAAGAAAAAAAATACTTAATCATTACATAATATTATTATGTCAACAAAGCAATTTTATCTTACTAAAAGTACTTTTAATCGCATTTATCTCTTTATAAATTAGATTATAAATGGGCTATCCGATTAAATCGGGCTAGTTTGACTCTGTTGGGTGTCTGGCCAAAAAACGATGAAACTAAACAGAAAAAGATAATATCAAACGTCTGTACAATCTTTATATTAAACACTGCAATCTGTGGGTGCATCATTCCAACTGTACATTCTTTGTTCAAAGTTTGGGGTGATATAATGTCTATGATAGATAACCTGCAATATACTTTACCGCTGACAATAGCAATAATAAAATTATGCATTGTGTGGCTGAGAAAAGAAGGTAATAGTACATAGACGAGATAGAAGCTAGTTCTTGTTATTACTCTTTTTAGTTGCCAAAGAAAACGACACATTTCATAAGTTTCATACTTGTTACATTTATTGACAATTAGTGGAAGCTTTAATAAGTATATTATAGAAGACACTATGTGTATTACGCTTTTGAGGCTTTCACGGGTATTTTCTTCAATTATTCCAGAAGGTTTGCGGGTTATCACCGTGTCTTTCTTCATTATTAATGCCAACGTTTCGTAAACCATGCCGTTCACTTCATCAGGGCGATGGGTGCTCTGACACTGCAGATCACAGTATCTCATCATCACACTGCGATACACAGTATCAGTGCATCCCTCGCCCTGATGAAGTGAACGGCATGGTTCACGAAATGTTGGCATTAATAATGAAGAAAGACATGGTAACACTATGTGTATGTTTATATGATTAAATTATGTGGAGGTAAATATTTCATTTGTATTTCTTGCTTATTGAATACGTAAGCTAAATGCATATTATCATTTTTCGTATATTTATTTTATGTACTTTTAGTTATAATAACACCTGTATTTGACTCAGTGTGCATATATCTATATATTGGTTTTTAATCTGTATTTTTTCGAATTCCCCAAACTGATAAGTAAAAGCTAGTTATCACTCTAAAGGCAAGTTATAATAATGTAAATACTTATTTAGTATATACTAAATTTCTAAGTATACTTAGAAATCATAAACTAATAATTTAAGTTCAAGTATCTTTTCTTATAATTAATTGTTAGAAATTCAATAATTAATT